CAGGCTCTGCTCTGACAGCAGAGGGCCTGATGCGGGGCTCAAACTCACCAACTGTGAGATCATGACCTGAGCCACCCAGGCGCCGCAGCAGGGTGGAGATTTTAATTTTGTACATCTCATATGCCAGGTGTTTAGAACAATGCCAGACACACATTAGGTGCTCAATAAATAATTGTTGATGAAGGATATGGGTTGAACTAATCCTTATTTTGGAATAATTTCATAGCCAGTTTTCTCGGACATTTTATGGGGGTCTTTTCTTTGCAGTAGTATTTATTTTAATTACTTCTGCATAATCCAGGCTTCTAATTTTGATTTTCATGGATTTAACTTCAGGAAGTACTTACATAGCAAGACGGCAGTTAAATTTTCTTCTGGCGTGTCTTCTCTGCTGGATAGAGGTTGACTGGGGCAGGGGGTTCCCGACTCTAGCTGTCATCACAATTCCTAGAGCCCACTGGATCAGATTCAGGGAGGGGCCAAGGATTGTATGATTTTTAACAAGATTTCTAAGGGATTGTTGTTAGCGTGGCATAAGGGTTTTCTGGCCTCAGCGGAACTGGGTGCTGTAATTAGCAATATCTGCCAAGGGTGATTGTAACTATTAATTCCTTTCCTGTGTACTGATGGCAAAAACAGCCATGAACAAAACTTTTTACTTACAAAAAATGTTGGGACTTTGTTCATGTTGTCGTAGCTAGGGAATGCTCTCTGTTTTCGTGAAGTATGTGATCTGGTGGAGTAAGGAAAACGAACACAGAAGCCTAACAGAAAACTGACCACAGTTTGAATTAGTTGCTTGTGTTTAACGATTAGGAAAAAAAATCCGTATTTCTGTCTTCTCTTGAAAAGTTGGAATCTGCCCTCACTGGGCCTGTATTCCCTGTAATCCACGGGAATGCTCTTGTCTGTAAACAAGGTATAGTCCTGCTAAATTCGACATAATTCCCATCCAGCTCGCTTTGCTCATTCCCTGTCTACTTCCTGTAGACATTGGAGTTTTTAATCCCTGACCAAAGGTTCTTAATTATCTTTCTTAAAAACTGAGTCCATTGAAGTATAATTGACATTCAAGAGATTGCCTATCTTTGAAACACACAGTTTGATAAGTTTGGATGTGCATACACATCCATGAAACCACAACTACGTTGTAACGAATGTGTCATCATCAGAAGTGTCTCTATGTCCTTTGTAATTCCTGCTTCCCGCCCCACTGTCCTTGAGCAAATGCTGATTTTTATTACTGTTGGGTGTTTATCATTTTATGAAAAGGAATCTGAGAATATGTGTGGTTTTTTTTCTTTTGTTTGGCTTCTCTCAGCATAGTTACTTTGAAGGTCATCCGTGTCGTTGAGGGTATCAGTGTCTCATTCTCCCTTAGTGCTGAGGGGAATGGGGTTTATGGATATTCCACCATTTTATGTTTGCCTTTGATGGACCTTTGGGATGTTTCCACTTTTTGGCTTTTACCCATAATGTGGCTGTGAACGGTTGTGTACAAGCCTTTGCATGCAATTTATATTTCTTTTTCTCTTGGTTCGTCACATAGGAGAGGGATGGCTGGGTCATATGGTAGGGGTGTATTTAAGTACTTAACTTTTTTAAGAAGCTGCCAGACTATTTCATTAAGTGGTTGTGTCCCTTCCTGCTCCTGTCAGCAGAATAGAAGTGCTCACTTGCTCCACACCCTTGACGGCACTTAGTGGGGCGGGTCTTTTGCATTTTAGCCCATTCTCTTAGCTGTGTCCTGGGGTTTGGTGTGGTTTGGTGTGGTTTTAATTTCCCTAATGACAGTGTACTGTTGAGAAGCTTTACATAGGCTCTTTGTCATACATATGTGTTCATTTAAAAAAAATTTTTTTTTAATGTTTGTTTATTTTTGAGAGAGAGAGAACGAGTGAGTGGTGAGTGAGCATGAGCTGGGGAAAGGGCAGAGAGAGAGGGAGACACAGAATCCGAAGCAGGCTCCAGGCTCTGAGCTGTCAGCACAGAGCCCAACGCGGGGCTCGAACTCACAAACTGTGAGATCATGACCTGAGCTGAAGTTGGATGCTTAACTGACTGAGCCACCCAGGTGCCCCTGTCATACATGTTATTTAGTCTCTATTTAAATAATTTTTTCCCCTCAAAGTTGGGTTTTTATTGTGAGTTTGAGAGTTTTTAATATTTTCCGTGTGCCAGTTCTTTATTAGATACATACTTTGCAAAGACTTACTACTAGTTTGACTTGTCTTTTTCTTTCTTTTTTAAAATTCTTTGCATTTTAAAAAACTTTTATTTACTTATTTCGAGAGAGAGAGAAAGAGAAAATCTGTGCTGTCAGCTCAGAGTCTGACGTGGGGCTCTATTCCACCAACTCTGAGATCATGGTCTGAGCCGAAATCAAGATTCGAACACTCAACTGACTGAACCACCCAGGCACCCCTTTCTTATTTCCTTAGTTATTTCTTTGACCTTTTGGTTGATGAAGTGCTGTTTAATTTCCATATATTTGTGAATTTTCCAGTTTTCCTTCTATTGTTGGTTTCTAGCTTTATTATATTTTAGTCAGAGACTATGCTTTGTGTGATTTTGACCTATTTAAGTTTATTAAGAATTGTTTTATGGCCTACCAATGGAATGGGAAAAGATATTTGCAAATGACACATTGGACAAAGGGCTAGTATCCAAAATCTGTAACGAACTCACCAAACTCCACACCCGAGAAACAAATAATCCAGTGAAGAAATGGGCAGAAAACATGAATAGACACTTCTCTAAAGAAGATACCCATGGGGCGCCTGGGTGGCGCAGTCGGTTAAGCGTCCGACTTCAGCCAGGTCACGATCTCGCGGTCCGTGAGTTCGAGCCCCGCGTCGGGCTCTGGGCTGATGGCTCAGAGCCTGGAGCCTGTTTCCGATTCTGTGTCTCCCTCTCTCTCTGCCCCTCCCCCGTTCATGCTCTGTCTCTCTCTGTCCCAAAAATATATAAACGTTGAAAAAAAAATTAAAAAAAAAAAAAAAGACACCCAGATGGCCAACGGGCACATGAAAAGATGCTCAACATCATTCCTCATCAGGGAAATCCAAATCAAAACCTCACTGAAGTATCACCTCATACCGGTCAGAGTGGCTAAAATGAACAAATCAAGAGAATATAGATGCTGGAGAAGATGTGTAGAAATGGGAACCCTCTTGCACTGTTGATGGGAATGCAAACTGGTGCAGACGCTCTGGAAAACAGCATGGAGGTTCCTCAAAAAATTAAAAATAGATCTACCCTATGACCCAGCAATAGCACTGCTAGGAATTTACCCAGGGGATACAGGAGTGCTGATGCGTAGAGGTACTTGTACCCCAGTGTTTATGGCAGCACTTTCAACAATAGCCAAATAATGGAAAGAGCCTAAATGTCCATCAACTGGCGAATGGATAAAGAAGATGTGGTTTATATATATAATGGAATACTACTTGGCAATGGGAAAGAATGAAATACGGCCTTTTGTAGCAACGTGGATAGAACTGGAGAGTGTTACGCTAAGTGAAATAAGTTATACAGAGAAAGACAGATATCATATGGTTTCGCTCTTATGAGGATCTTGAGAAACTTAACAGAAGACCATGGGGGAGGGGAAGGGGAAAAAAAAGTTAGGGAGGGAGCCAAACCATAAGAGACTCTTAAAAATTGAGAATAAACTGAGGGTTGATGGGGGGTGGGAGGGAGGGGTGGGTGGGTGATGGGCATTGAGGAGGGCACCTGTTGGGATGATCACTGGGTGTTGTATGGAAAACCAGTTTGACAATAAATTTCATATTAAAAAAACAAACATATCCTCCAGAATGTTCTATGTGCACATGAGAAGAAAGTGTATTCTTTTGTTGGGTTGAGTGTTCTGTATTTGTCTGTTACGTCTAATAGCCAATATAATCTCATCCTAACTCAATTATATGTGCAAAGACCCTGTTTCTGAATAAGATCACATTCATAGGTGGGAGAACAGGGGGAAAGGACTTTAATGTGTCTTTTGGGGCATGTGATTTAGTCAGCTACACAGAGTGAGCAAGCAACAGATTCCTTTTGTTTTTGTTTGTGAATATTTTTATTTCATCTTAATTTTTGATAGTTTTGCTGGACATAGAATTCTTTCTTTGAGCACTTTGTATAGGTCTCTGCCACTGTGTCTGAGAATTACCTGTTAAATTACATGTATATTTTTTCTGTTAAATTGTCTTAATTGCAGTTCCCTTGTAAGTGATACTTGTTTTCCTCTTACTGCTGTTAAGGGTTTTTCCTTGTCTCTGAAACATTTTGACTACGATACGTGTGTCTACCTTAAGTTTGTGGGCTTTTTGGATGCATAAATTAATACTTACAATAAGCTTGGTAAGTTATGCAGCTATTATTTCCTCAAATATTTTGTTCGGCTCCCTTCCCCCTTCTAATACTCCTATTACACATATATTGGTGTCTCACATTTCTGTGAAGCTATGTTCATTTTTGTTTATTTTTTTTCCTTTGTGTTCTTTGGATCGGATGATCTCTTGATCTATTTTTAGGATACAAACTCTTTCTTCTATCAGTTTAGATCTACTGTTGAGCCCCTCTGGTGAATTTTTCATTTCAGTTACTTTTCAATTCCAGAATTTGTTTTTGGCTCTTGTTTTTATAATTCCTATTCCTATCACTTACTTGATGGAAGTGTCATCCCTCCCTTTTGTTCATTAGTCACGTTTCATGTAGTTCTTTGAACATCCTCACAGATGTTAAGTCTAACATCTCGTCCTCTTACAGACCTTTTTTGTTGCCTGCCTTTTTTTCTGATGGGTTATGTGTGGGTTATGCTTTCCTATTTCTTTGCATGTCTTGTAATTTCTTATTAGATATTGAGCATTTTAGAAAATGCGTTGTGTCCACTCAGGGTGCTGATCTGCCTACTCCCCACCTCTGGGCTTGTTAGTTATTTGCTTTTTAACTTGTTTGATGACCGGCTAGGTTGTTTAAGCAAAGTCTTTGTCCCCTACTCCACTCTGGGCAGGGTGCAGCTTCTGATGACATTCCTCAGAGGCCATAGCCTTGGCCATGCCCATAGTCACCCTGCGATGGTGGTGGTTTGGCCCTACTCATTTCTGTCTTTTTTTTTTTTTTTTTCCTTAATCTTTATTTTTGAGAGAGTGAGCTTGGGCACATGCGAGCGAGAGCGCAAGTGCGAGTGGGGGAGGGGCAGAGAGAGAGAGGGAGACACGGAATCGGAAGCAGGCTCCAGGCTCCAGGCTCCAGGCTCCGAGCTGTCAGCACAGAGCCCGTCGTGGGACTCGAGCTCACAAACCGCGAGATCACAACCTGAGCTGAAGTCGGACGCTTAACTGAGCCACCCAGGCACCCCTCATTTCTGTCTTTCTCTCTGATCCCATCTTCAGTGTTGTGGGGTGTAATTTGCTTTCTAAACTGATGGTATTAAATTCAGGCTCCTTTGATTGGGTGGTGTCTGGGGTCAGTGTTTGAGATGTTTTAACGCCAGTGGGCCCTTCCCACCTGTCTCCCCATTTCTTTCTGGCACAATAGGCAGCCTGGACAGGTCAGTCTTTATCTCCATTGACTTTTACTCTCTTTTCAAGGACCTCTCCAAAATTCCCACTTTCTGAGAGCACCTTTTGGCCAGAACCCTTTTTGCATGCTATTCCAAGTGAAACCAGCTTCTCCGAGAGAGTTGGGAGCTCTCTGTTCTAAGGCTTGCTTTTCTCCTTTGGCAAACTGAGGTACAGCCCTGTGCTGTGGGTGTGGACAGTGGTGTGCTTGTCTGTGATTGACATCCTTGCTTTAGGAGCTGAGTGCCTGGATGGAGGGTGCAGGGGGTGCGGCAGGGAGGAGTAGCTCTGAGGTGTCCTTGGCTTACGTCTCTTGGTGCGAAACCCCACAAGCTGGGGTGGGAGCTGTCTGGGCCCCAGCAGTGTCTCCCACAGGTGGGGCCTGGATGGAAGAAGGGAGCCCCCACCTCTCACTGGCACTCACCCAGGGCTTAGCCCAGGCCTGGGCAACAGGGGCAGGACGAAGAGTGCAGAGGTCTGAGTTCCCCCCTGCACCTGTCTGGAGGGGAGTCGAAGCCACACTGAACTGGGAGGGAGAGGAGGGATCAGTCCTGGTTCAGCAGCCCCAGATTCTTGCAGCTGTTCTCTGGGTAGATTTCTTGAAAAAGATGTTTCTCGTTTGATGTATGCCTTTAGAATCAATTCCATATGGGGCGCCTGGGTGGCGCAGTCGGTTGAGCGTCCGGCTTCAGCCAGGTCACGATCTCGCGGTCCGTGAGTTCGAGCCCCGCGTCAGGCTCTGGGCTGATGGCTCGGAGCCTGGAGCCTGTTTCCGATTCTGTGTCTCCCTCTCTCTCTGCCCCTCCCCCGTTCATGCTCTGTCTCTCTCTGTCCCAAAAATAAATAAAAACGTTGAGAGAAAAAAAAAATAGAATCAATTCCATAGACTTTAAATGGTTATTTTATTAAAAATAATTTTCATCAGTTTCACAGGGAGTGCGGTGGGCAGGACTCCTCATGCCACCGTCCTGGACGTGGAACTCTCAAGGGTACCGAGTTTCTGATAGCTTTCATTGTTGTTGTTTTTTAAATCACTTCTGTTGGGGAGTGAGCGTGTGGTTGGAATCGATGTATTATTACCTTGTTAGAACTTGATTGGCTAAGTCTGGATGAATTCCTGGGGCTTTATTGGTGTTTTTATCGTCTGACTCCCCTAGGTAGATTCTCTCTGGGGAGGTATCTGTCTGCTGCTACTTCTCAAGCCTCTTTGCTTGCATGTGTATCTAAGAGGAAAAAATTTCATTCCAAATCTTTGATTTTCCTAATAAAAGTTTTAAATGAGATAGGGGATATACCATGAGATATACACTTGGTATGGGAAAAATGTACAATATCTTATTAATATTTTCCATAATGATTACATGCTATATAATATTTTGGATATACTAGGTTAAATAAAATATGTTGTTAAAGTTTCGCCTCTTAAACTTTTATTCTTTTTATTTTTTTTAAGTGTGTATTCATTTATAGAGAGAGAATATGTGCTTGTGCAAGTGTAGGGGGGGCGGGGTGGGGGACAGGGAATCCCAAGCGGGTTCCACACTGTGCGCACAGAGCCCATCGTGGGGCTCCATCTCATAAACTGTGAGATCATGACTTGAGCTGAACTCAGGAATCAGATGCTCAGCTGACTGGGCCACCCTGGCACCCCTCTTTTTTAAAATGAGTCTACTAGAGGGGCGATTAGGGTGGCTCAGTTGGTTAAGTGTCCACCTTCGGCTCAGGTCATGATGTCACGGTTCGTGGGTTTGAGCCGCGTATCGGACTCTGTGCTGCCAGCTTGGCGCCTGGAACCTGCTTCAGATTCTGTGTCTTCCTCTCTCTTTCTGCCCCTCCCCCTAGTTGTGCACATCGTGTATGCGCACACGCTCTCTCTCTGTTTCTCTCTCAAAAATCACATTAAAATGTGGCTACTAGAAAATTTAAAATTATGTATGTGACTTGCATTTTATTCCTGTTGTTCAATTCTTTGTTACCCCTACTTTCCTTAAATAGGGTCTTTGAAAACAAAGAAACTTAGAAAACTTAGAAAACTATGGTTAATTTGGAAAAATGTAAAGATTACACAAAGTATTAGAAAAGTATCTTTGGGGCTCCTGGGTGGCTTACGTGTTTGACTCTTGATTTTGGCTCAGGTCGTGATCTCATGATTCTAGGCAATTGAGCCCTGTGTCAGGCTCTGCAGTGACAGCGTGGACCATGCTTGGGATTCCCTCTCCCTCTCCCTCTCCCTCTCCC